GAGATCATAGTCCACCGTGATTAACAGGGTGTTTAACTCTCTCCACTAGGTAGTCTGAATGAATCTGTTCCCCCGGGTGTCGTCGCACAAATGAACTTCAGTCGACCAAAATCTAAAACGTTGATTCCTCAGAGAAGCATATCCGCAAAGTGCTGCAAAATGTTATTGAAGAAAAGTATTAGTTCTTTGAGTACATGACAATGTTGTATTACTCGATTGCAGTCATATTTCAGAGTATTGTCTGGCCCCCACTACAGTTGTTTCTTCTTCACGGCCTGGGCGAGGAGTGTTTTTGTGATAGGGTGACGACCCATCAGGATGTCTTCCGCTAACCATCACCGAACTATCCTTTTGAAAACTGTGTCTGTCGTCAAGTCAGAAGGGCAACACTTTTTACAATTTTTGTGGCGGAAATACCTCATTAGACGATTCGTACGAAGACTGGAGATCCTTTTCCTGTCTTGTTTACCCACGTGGCCTGCTTCCCGAATTTTTTCGTGTCAATTTTTATTTTTATTCTGTTAACCACAGTTCTCGAAACACGTAGTAAAGTTGCTATAACTCTCTGTCGATCTGTGGAGTGAAGGAATAGTGTATTTCCTTGGAAACGTGCCTGAAATCTTATCTTACAAAAATTTAAAGTTTTGATGTGGTGAAGTTGCATTGCAAAGTAAAGAAATTCTCTCATAAAATGTAGTAAAAGTAATTTAGGAAAGAAGAATACTTAAGTTTTGATTATTTTTCAAAGCAAAAACTTGTAAAAGACAAGTAAACAAATTTGAATGTCTTCATCACAGCAACAGTTTCAAATAACTCCAATTGAATGAAAGTAATATCACTGATTTCTTCAATAACGCAGGCATCCAGTGTTGTCACTAATGATAAACCACAGTAATGGTAACTGTAATACTACAATCCTATCGAAACAAAAGCCTTTGCTCAAAAGACGATTTAAACTAGAAATTACTCAAATTTCAGTACTGTCCCAAATAATTTGGCCACCTACTATAAATTCTACTAATAAATAAATAAATAAATAAATAAATAAATAAATAAATAAATAAATAAATAAATAAATAAATAAGTAAATAAGTAAATAAATAGTCTTTATTGATGGCGAAGCTCTGGCCATTTAGCCTGCTCTTCCGCCTCACCATTTTCAAACAAAATTTAGTTTGTATTGTTAGCTAATTTGTATTGCTGTTATTGTGTATTATTTACTATCTACTCTTTGCACACTTTTTATTGTGAAACTGTGTTGACATTGAAGTCCTATTGACGCTCAATAACACACGAAAATGCCTGTAGTGATATAAATGGAAGCAACCTTCAGGAGAATTTGCTAAAATATCCTTCTTTAGGTTTCGTAAATATCCAGAAGGGAAAGCGTTAACAAAATTGTTCCTGAATGTTATTTCAAAGCGTATTTGCCATATACTAATTCCAACATCTTGTTTACATTCTATATCGCACCTCGAATATAAAAGTGACACAAGTGTAAATTTCTGATTTCTCAGAAATTCCAATTTTAAGTTTCGTAGTTCTGTAATACTCGATATAGATTGTACCAAATATTCACCTTCTAGCGGAAAGTCATGGAACTAATTCAAAATCAACTTCAGAATAGTAGCAGTATCTCTTGGTAACCTCTTATCAGCTTTTAGCTGAAAAATGACGGTTTCGCACTTGTGTCACTTTTCTATTGGGTATGCGATATGGTTTCTTCTATATTTTATGTAATTTTTACCTTTCAATCATTAAGAATGTTGAGAAAAATTTTATGTCACCTAATAAATACCATGTAAATCTTGAGTTATGCTATTTTATCATTTCAAATTTATTATAATATTAAATTTATAATTATTTTTTTAACTATCATTGTAACATTTGGGTGTAGCACTCCCATCTCAATAAGGTTTTTATGCAGTTTTCCTTGATTCATAGAGTAAATGCTGGGACGTGTTCCGAGTTTAGCTTCAGCATAGAAAATATAGATTTTATCCTCTCTATTTGACAGTAATAAATTGGTATTTTATGATAAACTTGGAATGAGTATTTTATTATGTGTACATCACTCATTTGCAGATGTTATACACAAGCCTACGTGCTATTTTAAGAGTTCTAAAATGTTAAGCATAATAATTATGAATTACTACGGAGTCTCGAATTATCTCTTGGAGCCTAAAGGCAGACGCCTCTTGCTGTCTACCAGGAGCGCATGCTATGAAACGTATGAATTCTCCTCCCATTACAGTTTCTCAACTGTTATTCCAAACTGTGGTAAAACGGTGGAAAATAAAATGTTTAATTTTGTTTATCGTTTACTAGTTCACTGATGTGTGTTTACGGATCTGAAACAAAACAAGTATCGGCATTGTTAATACTCTTGCAGTCCCCTGACAAAATTGTCATTGTTACCTTTGTTTGGGCGAAAAGAAAGATTCTCCTTACGGATTCTAGTCATTGTTTGTGGCGTTTTAAGCCGCTGGCGAACGAAGAATGAATTAGCCAACGTAAAAAACTGACTTGCCATGCAGTCAATACGCTTATTACTTAGCTTCTCTACACGAGCGAGGCAGGTCGCTACGAAACTTCTCGCGGCTCCAATTATCAAACAGTGCGATCTCGTCGCGTCTTATTGGAAAGACGATTGATTCCGGGAATTTGCCGACAATATGCTAAGCTGCAGGACGCGGCGCCCAGGAGCAGGTGCGATCTCGTGGCCACTTTTGCAAACACTTCAAAGTTCGTTTCAAAGAGTTTCTAAAATAAATTCATACTGCGAAATGAATTCGCGCTCTTTGAGAGAGAGGGTTCGCGATTTTTCGAGAAAAATTAATCTCGAAATTATTATCTCGAAAGCGCAGCATTTGAAATGTATGTTCTTTTCTTATTAAGTAATCTCAAAGAATTGTCAAAATTAGTTCCAAGTGTGGCGCCAAATTTGAATGAATTTAGCCGCCAATATGCCAACAGATAGTCATTATGACACAGCTTCATTATGAACAGGTTTTCACCAATCACAGAGAGGTTTACATTTGAGAAGTAATAAATCACTATCCATCGTTCTATTCAGTTTTTCGTAGGATTCTGTGCAATACTATCCTTGGAATACTCATGTGTAGGTGACGATAAATCGCACATGCTCTCCCTGTTTTAAAATTTGAGAAGGAAATCAGAACACTAAATGCCCCTATTAGGATTGTTAGGATTGTATAAGAAATATGAACATACACTGAAATTCGATGATATTTCTTTTATAGATTTAATCCTAACATATCTTGTATTTTGGTCATGAGAAGGCGAACTGTGTTTATGCTTAACGAGTGCTATCTGAGACCGACGTGACTGTCCGCCAAGTGAAGTTGGTATCGTTACTTGGCACTCCATACCAGCTTACATTTGTGTAGGCAATGTAAAATTTTAACTTATAGTAGTTATTATTAGTTATAAAAATATTGAGTAAACTCGATGAAATAAGTATTACTCGTTCATCATTAATATGGAGACGGCTGAATTGGGAACTAGTGTTGCTTTGAAAGTGAGGGCCCGATCCCACACCAATTAGTGCCGAAGCCCAACAGCATCTGAATAATGCTGACGTCAGCTGAGAGTGTCCGGGAAAAGTGCATGTTCTGTTTTTGTCGTTTCTGCAAATGTCTGCGGAAAAATCAAAGCCATTTCGCAATGCGATAGTGTGTTCTGGCAGAAAATTAATTATTAACTAGTAGTGCTTCAGAATGGCACAGACTTTCTCGTGCTAATTAGCTTCCAAATTTCTTTGGCAGGTCTAGTTTTGGAGTCATCTCGGATGCCATCTATCGCCTCCCAAACATCATTTTTTCACATTTATCAAAGTTTGGCTTTCCTAATAGGAGAAACGGAAAATTACCTTACGAATATTATATGAAGAGGAAAACCTCGTCCGGTATAAAACTTTTTGTCAAGATATTTTCAGTCCTTTTTACGAAAATGGATTTAATAGCTGAGAAGCTTTTTGTTACAAAATAGTATTTAGTTTTTAAAAAAAATATTGCAGGCAATTTGAAGCGCTTCTACTCATCAATGCAATAATGTATACAAATTGATGTAAATGTGCATATCAGAGGCCTGAGAGATCTAGTATAAAAAGTTACATTTGTGTGATTTAAAAAAAACAATAAAATAAAACAAAATGAATTTTATGTTATATTAAACAATGCAATTAGCACTTTTGGTACGAGAGGTTTGAAAAAAAGATTTGGAGCCTTTTTTGAGAAAATAACGTTTGAGCATTTCTAAAAGAGCGGAATTTTGAGCTCATTTTTACAGAAAACTTAAGTTTGGGAGAAATTGTATAAGAATTTTTTTTAAGCAGGTGTACTCGCATGTACAATAATGGGAACAAATTGCAGCTAATGTAAATATTAAGTGAGAGAGATGTCAAAAAATTAAACTTTTGTAATTTTTGAAAAAATCCACAAGAAAATATTACAGCAATATAGCATTTATTTAATCGTGTAGAGTATACTTAGCACTATCAATACCAAAAGTTTAAAGAAAAAATTGCCGCAGTTTTCGAGAAAATCTTGTTTTTGGCATTTTTAATATTGTATATATTGCAAGCAATATTGCGCTAAAACTACTAAAAACTGTACATGACCTTAATTAAAGACCTAAATATGAAGAACAAAGTTTATATGAAGGAAACATTTCTATCTTCAATTTTGTAGTTGAAGGAAGACACCAGGAAAAGTGCAAAATTTTGCCATTTTCGAAAATTCGGAATGAACAGTAAAAAACGTATCTAGGCCACCTTCATAACCGTATTCAATAATAATCTTTGAAAAAACATACTGTTCCTAATGATACCACACAATTTACAAAATATATAAATATTGTGTAAAGTGTTTTTAGTATCCTCTCAACTATAATAATTGCACGAACACTTTTAAATGTAAGTTGTATTTTGTATCTCCTGAAAACTGAGAAAATATGACTTGTATTCTTTGTATAAAAAAAGCAATTCTAAGGTCGATACACACCCATGAAGAACTAACAGGCTTCAATGAGCTTGACCGTAACTGAGAAGCGTTTGATGGCAACTACTTGTTATTGAAGGATGTAGGGCAGAACCGCAAAATCCGGGTGGACCTCATGACTCGGCCTGCACGGAAACGCGACGTAAGCCTTTGTGATATAAAGAGGAACGAGCGACTTCTGAAAAATACATTCGGCCAGAGCCGGCAGAATAGTAGGAAGTACAGGCTGTAAGAGCGCTTTGTTTGTATTGACAATTTTCGTATTGCAAGACCGCATTAAAGACCGGATTACAAAACTCGAAATGGTAAGTCAATATTTTCAAAGAAATGAACTTAAAGAATTGTGTATATATGCTTTAATAAAAAGCTGTTCTAAACAACATCGGCTCTTAATAAAAGGTCATGCAATGGTTTTGAAAAAAACGAGCCTTTTTGCATATTTCTGTTTAAAATTAATGCAGTTCATAAAAAGTTCATTTCTGAAAAAAAACCTTCACATTTTTTTCTTTAACATTTTTTTGCTGATAACGTAAGGAACGCTTAAAATGACGGAATATGTACAATATTGTATTATTGCAGGTATATATTGTATTATTGCAGGTATTATTTTTGTTGAACCATGAATTTGTAAACTTTGCAAATTTTGAAATAATGTGAGAAAGTATGCGCTATTTCGTTAGATGAATGTATTCGATTTAATATAGAAGCATTTCAAAGTTATTTGAAAAACATGAAGTAATCGAATTCCGAATTATGAGAATATTTGATTCCAAAATTGTTCCTATAATTTTAAGAAATTTAATCATCCATGCTAAAGCTTGGTAGACTTCTATCACTACAATTCAATTTATTTCTACAATAAATTTCCGGGACCTGTATTCAATGACACTTTACATTATTTTTGGAACTTCATACTTGGTCTAATGTATTAATTTTCCATTTCTCTTTCAGAGACACATTTTGCTGATTGCTATGTTCGCTTTGGCTGTAACCGCCGACGAACCAATTGATTTGTCTCCTGACATTATTCCCAACGACGATAGAATGCCCGATCCTGCGTTAGAGGTCAATGTGTCTGGCGAGGACGAGGTGTTGGGCGAAGAGCTCCCGGAGGACGAGCTCGGCGAGGACGAAGCAATGGACGGCGCAGAGACGGCCGTCTTCCGACCGCTGTTCGCCCACCGCCAGCGCGAGCAGCTCCGGCGGCAGAGGCTGTTGGAGGCGCAGCAGGAGCGGCGAAGGAACTGGAACTGAAGGAACCGAGGCCCACTTGAAGCTACACGTACGGGGCTTCATCTGGCATAATTAGCGCACTTGCTAGTTAATTATTTAATGTGATCACTGCATCAGTATTATATTTGTAATTGATAGCTTTCTATTCAATATGTACGTGAATATATAATGTAGTTTTACGAATTCAAAATAAAATTTTCAAATTGTAAAGTTTAATTAATCTCAAACGCATTCATCACTTCCACAAAAAGGAAACAGTAATGAGCAAGATAGAAGAAATAATTCAAAGAATGTTAAGAGTCAAATTAAAATCAACGAAAGCCGACAAGTTTACTTCCAATGCAATGATATACATGAAAAAGAAGGCATCGGAAATTACTTGAGACAACATAAATAGAAGTCTCTAGTATCATAAATATGATAGATGTTTGTAATGCGTTGCTAGCAGAAAGACGTTTTCTCAATGTAGTTAAAACCTTCTGGTCGAACAATATTAACTTGCGAGATGTACCAAACAAAAGTGTCCGCCATCGCAACACCTCAGAAATTCTTAACCAACTTGTCTATAATCTTCTACTAACTATGAACGGATTTTGTAACAAAATAAAAAAAATGTGTACTCAACTATTTACATTTAAGAAAACAAGTGCTAGTGAAGCACTTTCCGCGACAATTTGAGAATTTTTAAAATCCACTTTGAATCACATTTCGAAATTGAAATTTAAAATACAGTTTAGCGCCATTGTGAACTTTTACATGTAATGATTTCAAAATTTTATCTTGTCCCTCAACAGTGATAATGCACTCTAAAAACCCGAGGAATTTCAAGCGGCTCTAAACAGAAGTGTCTGTCATTCCACACCTTGCAACAAACTCAAATTCAAATAGCCTATAATATCTACTAATTATGTACAAATTTTATAACAAAATAAATAATTTTGTATTTAAATTATAAACAATTAAAAATCTGGTGAAAATGAAGCACTTTCCGAGTAAATTCGCGAATTTTTGAAACCTATTTTGAGTTAAATTTCGATATTTAAATGTATACTGAATTTTGGTACTAAAGTGGTGCTTTACGTTTGCTAATTTCTAATTTTTTTATTGAAATTATTTATATTTGCGAAAAATTGCATGTTTGACACACCGTTTGAATGAAATCTCAGATAGGCACGCTACGCATGGTTGATATTTTACGTAAAGTAACTGCAGTGTTATGTGGTTACTTTTAGAATAAATTACTGCTGCAACTGTATTCTTTCTTTAACAATTAGTCTAATAATGTAGAAATTTCTTCATTCTCTTCCAATACATTTTTCTACAAATATTATGTGTGTAAAAAGTACTAAGTGGTCAGGTAGCACTTGATTTTTCAATTTAGAGTGTTAGTAACGCAGAGTATAAATAGCGGTTTCCTGGCAACGCAATCGTTGCTATGATCGGCCCGGCTACTTCCTATGCTAAAGAAAAAAATAATAATATTCTACTCTAAATGCTATTCGGTAAAAGTGTGTTCCTGTTCGTCCAAATAAGAGTTTCGTTTTTCCAATGTACTCAAATAGAATAACAACTGGATGCGTGGAGTCTGCTCCCTGCAATTCAGTCACTGCAATGATCCTTCGGGCTACTTCCAATGAAAAAAAATAATGATATTGTGAATATTTTTTATGAGTGTGTACTATATTTCAGAAGTGTGTTCTCGTTTCCCAAGAAATATTTTCGTTTACCAGGGGCAGAAATGGAATTACAAGCGGAAGCGTATAATAAAAGGGGGCTCCTTGCAATGCAGTAGGTGCAATGTAGGGTTGCTTCCTGTGAAGAAGAAAAAAATATGATATTGTGAATACTGCTCGATAAAAATGTGTTCTTGCTTCCTTCAAACGGAATTTCATTTGCCTAGGCACAGAAATGAATTTACAAGCCGAAGTAGGGGTTTGTATTCATGACAGACGTTGCAATGATAGTTCAAGCTACTTTAAAAGCTGAACGGAAAATAACTATATTGTCAATAATATATTGTAAAAGGTTGTTCCTGATTTCCCAGATACTCATACACACATGGTTTGGCCGTGCCTGGTGTTTTTTTGGTGTTTCCCTGCCGTGCAGGTGTAGGAGTGTACGTTCCCAGTACCTTCTTTGCTGCAGTAAGGATTATGACACAGTTAATTATTTTAGGTAAGTGTAAGCCATTTATTGTTCAAATCCAAATTTTGTTTGGCCCTTCAGAAATGAATGTACAATATGAAGGGTTTTTTTAGAATGTACAGGAGCTAAGCGTTTGGATTTCAGTGCCACTGCATTTCTTTCCCAAACAATGCATGATTTATTATTAATGTTTGTATCAATCTGTCCTGTTTCACGATAATAAAATTGTATTACATAGAAAACATGCCTTCTAGTAAAATTTTCAAACCTGTAACTTTAAACTTTTGATACCAAGCCAGTCACTCAGTTTAAAAAGTTTAAAGAATGTTAAAATTAAATAAATTGCAGTGTTTAAAATCAGTTTACAAGCGCATATGCAGGTATTTTTGGCTGGAGAAAACAGAGTTTTTGATATACCGTGCAATGCTCGTTACTTAACTCGGTCTAGAAACTTTTCATTTGGCTAAGACATATTTACGTGACACTTCGGTAAATCTATTAATTCAATTTGATTCAAAACGTTAGAAAAACACGCGAGGCAAGAAAACTAACCGATGAAGGCACTTTACCAGCTTCAAACATCGCCGAGCCCAAGAAAGAGATCAAATCCCCCGCTCAAGAAACCTTATACGAGACTGTTAGTGAGCAGATATCAAGGTAATTTCTATAATTCCTGTACGGTATAGAGCTATTTTTAAAGAAGCATTTTCGTGAGAAATGAGATGCCTCCGGGTGCGAGATCAAAACGCCGCGCCCGTGGCCCGATGTCATTGTCTCTCCAGAGGGTCACTGTTTGGGGCGTGTTGAATCCTTCTTCTATTTCTGATTTAAATTACTTCAAGAAATCTTATTATTAATTTGATTCTATTATTTACTTGGATACTATATATTTTTAAATACCATAGAGCAACAGAAAGAGGAAACTATTTATATACTAAATTTAAATAAATGGTTTTAATAATATCAGGCGTTTTCTCTATATTCACTCTCGGTTTTGGAAATACAAGCAAGGAAATGATTAGGTGTGGGATAAATGATACAAAATAAAATTAATTGTAATTTATAAAAAAACATATAATTTATTATCTACACTAATACAATTCAAGAAAACATTTCAATGGAAAATATTTTTAAAAAACATGAAAAACAATAAATACTGAACACATATATGAGCAAACAGGATCATAAAGATGAAGTCCGTCCGCTATATTTTTAGAGATCAGTTCATTGGCAAGTTTCAGTGGGAGTCGTGTCCTATAAATGTATGAAAGCGAGTCGAGTTCAAGTTCCAGAATGAGGCATGTAATTTGCAGCCGAGTCCTGTGGGAAGTCCCAGCAGGGTCTTTTAAATCCCAATTAAACTTATAAGCACTCCCTATCCTCTCTCTCTCTCTCTCTCTCTCTCTTACGGGAACTAACCGCTGCGAACTGCACTGACGAGGAGCGCGGCTGGCAGGACAAGTAGTGCTGGTGTCCACACTCACGCACGCGCTTTACACTGATACGTTGTTTTTTAGCAAATATCATTATAAATGCAAATACCTTATTCCCGCGTATTTCGTATTTCCCTTTTTTGCGGCAAATTTTTATCGTCGAAAATGGCATACTCCTGCGAAGCTGTAGTGCGCGAAACTAGCGCTCGTAACCTTGGACCCTAGAGTTTGGTCCCCAGTTCCAAAGAGAGGTGAGTTGTTGAGCGGAGTGGTGCGCTCAGTAGAGGATCTGCAAGGGCTTCCTGCCCTTGCGGAAGGGCCTGATGGGCGGGGTCCTTTGGCGGGGGGGCTGGCGGCGGGGGGCCTGGCGGCGAACGCGGGCCTTGGAGCCGTATCTGGCGAGGCGGTCGCGGTGCACGAAGAGCGGGCGGAACGCCACTGTCTCCGCGCCGGCCATTGCCTCGGCGCTGCGGAGCTCCGCAAGGTCCGCTTCCGGGCCCTTTTCCTCGCGCGCCCCCCGCGCTCCGACCGCAACAGAAGTCGTGGGCAGAGCGTCGCTGCGTCCCTCGCCATCGAAAGATCCTGAAGAGGTGGGTCTGGCGATGGCCGACGCCACCAGCACGAGGAGAAAGGTAATCGTGACCCTCTGAAACAATGAGTTTGAACATTTTCATTACAAGGCAATTCAGTAAATAGAAGAATATAGTATATTGCCAGATATTGAATGGCGGGATATTAATTCCGTACAGCAGGACAAATATTGCCTCTATTTATTATGTTCTCATAATTTGAAGTTAAATGTATAAAAGTTATCTTGTTTGATAATACTTCTTAAAACGTAAAATACAATTTAATGATATCTCTTCTCAAATGTAGCGTCTGCATCTACTTTCAGCTCTAGAGGTTACTTGAGGAAGATTGTTTTCGAAAGTTCAAGGACGACGGCTGTCCATGTCAATACACAAATCTGCTTGAAGCATGAATAGAACTTCCTTGCCAGGTATGAGCAGACACACCATTATTTACGTCTTCCGCAACTCTTACGATTGTGGCGAATCATTATATTTGCAAATTATTCATTAGAATGTCGCTCAGTAAGTTTGAAACGTGAAACTGGGTATTTCTGTTGTAGTACTGCCAATATTATTGAATCAATTAAATTTTACTTGATAGTTATTAGCTAGAACCAAGAAGTTCTAATTTGTAGAATTATCTCAACTTATTCGGAAAAAATAAATCTTGAATTTAGGTTTATTTTACTCTTCCATTCCAAAAGAAGAACTACAGATGCCTGAGTGTACTTGTAAGAGTGCTAAGGATGTGTGCAACTCACCATATCTGCAGCTGTGCGTTTAGTGAGAAGAGAGGATTGGCCGTGTAATGCGTCCGATGCTCCTGCTGCGGAATCAGCGAAGTCAGTGCGAAGGAGGGGGTTCCCGTGGCGCTTATATACGAGACACGGCGAACGCATGACTCACCTGTCGAATTCAAGCCCGGCGGTTGGAAGCCTCTAACACGCACTGCACGAAGGCGAAGAGCACACCCGTGCCTTGTAAAAATTGCGTCAGGCGTTACTGCTCTGGAACCTCGTGACACATGATAACATAATATTGACCGTCACATGAGATCTGTTTTCGGCATGTTTACATCAAGGCCGGCGGAGGCTTGTTTTGAAAACAACGTTTCGCATCTAAGAGTCAAAATTGAAAGAAGGTGTGACCAATTGGGTTACTTACCAGATAAAGTGACAATATTTTGAATCAATGAATATAATCTTTAAAATAAAATATATATGAGATAATGAGCTATTTCTAACATTCTTGCAGAGGTACGTTTTAAGAGAAAATTCATTTCCTGAAATCTAATTATATATTTTAACTGTTTCAAATCTGTTAACTACAATCTCTGAACTGATACTCGTATGAGTGCATATTCCTGCGGTAACAAAGAGCCAATGAGTTGGCAAAAATAGGACCAGTTTTCAGAGAAAATTATTCCTTGCTCTTCCTTTTCTTTGAAGTTATTGAGTGAAAACAAAGTGATTTTATTTGTTTGTACATTTGGATGCCCAATATCCATCCTTTAACTTTTACGCATTAAACTTGTGTAGATGTATTTTAATATATTTTACGTAAAGCGCGTGAAGTGCTAGAGATTGGAGTTGTTTTGTAGAGACCGACAGGTCAAAGCAATGAAACAATTTTACCTACAAATATATACAATTTACGTGCTAATATTTATATTTTTGAGGAACCTCTTCGATATTT